TCCCCCCTTCCCCCCATCACCAACTTCCCAACAACCAACAAAAACTTCCCCCTACCCCCCTTTAGTATAATTTCTTTTTCTTAGTCTTTTATAGTAGTGTTGACCATTCTTTTTGATACAGTGACTATATATGCCTTACGTCTTCTTTTGATGCTTTCTACATCATTCAGTATTTTAAACATAGAAAGTTGAGGTTTGAGTTTTTTCTTTAGTTCTTTTCATCTGAGAAATGTTCAGTGTGTTCTTCCCTTTTAATTTTCTGGTTCCAGGTCTTTGCATATTTCATTATAATACTTTGTCTTCTTTAGCTGCCTTTTGAAATTTTCTGTTCAGCTCTTTTACCTCCTCATTTCTTCCATTTGTTTTACCCACTTTATGCTCAAGAGTGACTGCTATGGCAAAATTCTGAATTAGGCTTCATGGGATTACCAAAAGGTGGTAACAAATGGTTGGTGGTCAGCTTTGGTGAGTTGACTGTTCGAATTTACCCAATAGTGAGTGCCACATAACAAAGGCTTGACCATCTGCTCTGTAAAGATTATAGCCAAGGAAATTCTTTGCAACAGATGGGATTGCCGCCAGTCAGAATAGACTTAATAGCAAAGGGGTTGGGTTTTTCTGTGGGTTGGGGTCAGGGCAACCAAAAGATAAATACAATGTACTCTTAGCTTCTAAGAGTTATAGGAGATGAGTCATCCCAAATAACAAATCTAAAATAGAAGTGTTCAGGAGTTGAAAGAGGTAGACAAGGGAGAATTGTTCTAAATTTTGTTAATCTGGGCAGGACTGGAGAAGGCTTAGTGGAAGAGGTTAATGTTTCAGTTACGAGTTGAATTTCTATATGGGGGGACGTGTTCTAGATCAGCACTATTTAATACAAATAGAAATATATTATGAGCCATATAATGTAATTTAAAATTCCCAGGTAGCCACATTTTAAAAAGCCAAAGGAAATAATTAAAATTAATTTTAATATTTTTACCCTGACATAAATTATTTCTACACATATTCAATGAAAATTATTCATGAGATATTTGTTGTTTTAAGTCTTTGAAAACAACACACCAGCTTGTAGTAACCACACTTGAGGAACTCAATAGTCATGTGTGGCAATGGCTACCATATTGGACAGTGCAGGTCTAGACAGGTGGAACTGAGCAAAGGTATAGAGCCATATGAATGTTGGGTATAATTTTGGAAGTGGTAATTTTAAATTTACCATGAAGGAGAGAATAGGAGATGCTGTTGAGAGAGTAGTTTGTGCAGAGACATTTAACACGTCTTTTTTAATTACTCTGAATATGAAGTTTCTTACTATGCTTTTTAGTAAGTGTATTAGGATAAGTCCCAAGGGTTGAGATAAAGCAAATATTAACATTTTCAATATGTGTATGTGTTCAGAATTTTAGTTTGTGTTTGGAATCCAAGATTGAAAATACTCCAGTGGAAAATACCACTGCTGATTCAACTCTGCTTAATCAAGCAAAAATTGATACAGGAGAGAGTAAATATCCAGGTAATACTTTGAAAATATTATTCAGATTTTACAGTGTTCAGAGGTTATTTTGTCATTATAACAAAATCATCTTCTACCAATTAAACCTATTAATTCTTTTTACCATTGCTTCCTTTTCAAATGCCCATTTTCTGAGAATTTTTTCTGTTGATTGACTTGTTTAAAATATCTAAGTATGATCCTTTGCCTCCCCACCAAAAGTTATTGTCTCTGTAACCTTTTATTTTTATTGGTACTGTACTCTCCTGAGAAGTATTACTTAATGAGTTGCCTAAATTAATGGTACCAGTATTATTCCTCAAACTATAAATGACTATTTGTGCTTTACCATTTCAGATTCTTCTCTTTAACCAATTATTCAATTTTTAGTAATTTTCAGAATTTAACTCTGAGTAATTTAATAAATGCTGCACTTTCCTTACTTACACTATATAAAAGCAATTCTGGTAATCTTGTTAAGTTCTTTTTTGAAAATACAGTCTTTGAATTGATGGGTGGAAATTTATTCACCTATGTTAGCTGAAGCATTTTGGGGCTATAGAAGAAACCCATAATCCCTGCTGTTTTTGTCTGCTAAAGGAAAGGTATAGTAGGAACAAATGTTCACATCAGTTAATTGCTGCCACTAGCTATCATTAGCCTTTTCTCAGAGTAGGGGGAGTAGAAGTGTCACACAAATAAAAGAAAAATATTTACTCATTAGAAAATAAAATGAATTGATTGTATTTGCTTTTGTTATTGAAAACAGATGCTATATATTTTTTTCACAAGGAAAGTATGTATTTCCATTTTTAGATGCTTAGGGGAGACATTTAAAGAATTTTCTGCTCAATGCTAATAATTAATGGTGAAAATAGAGGTAAATTCTGAAACTAGAGATAAATTACTATTAATCTATTATTAGGTATCTCTACAGCTAGGTAGTCCCCATACGTAATAGCTTTTCTGCCTCTTCGCTTAAAAGTAATCTCTAAGACAGGAGTTCTAACTTTATCAAATGGTCTTTAATAAAAATGAAATATTTAGAGGGTTGGATTTTTCCCTTTTTCTTTATATTTGTTTGATTTTTTTATCATTACATGGAGAACTAGTGCAAAGTTTAATAAATAATCCATCTAATTGATTAATTTACAGACTCAGCTCCCAAACAGCACAGTATACTAAATAACCAAACATCTAGAAACAGTGATAACAGGTAAGATATTAAAGTGTAAATATGGGAACTTTTTTATTGGGGGGATTTTTCCCATAAAGGCTGTGCTCATTACCCTCTGTTTCCCATGTATAAACACAGTGATACTTTGTCATTTCACTGCAGGCATACATACTGTCATACTATAGGATCAACCATAGGTTGACAGTTTAAACTCACGAGCCACCTCTGAAAAACCCTTTGCAGGATCGCTGAGTCAAAACTGACTCAACACTAAAAATAGCAAGCATACTGTATTCTAACTTTTGTTTTTCTTAATATATTATGGGTACCTTACCCACGTCCCATTTAGCTCCACTGCATTCTTTTTAAATTCTGTATTAGATTGCATTTTGTTAAAGCTACTTGGTTTATCTAATTGTTCTTTACTTTGAGGACATGTTGATTGTTTCTAGTTTATTTTTATTAAAAACCCAAATAAAATCCTGTAATAAAAACTGTATCTACCCACTGTGTGACACTGTCTCTTCTAGAAAAAATTCATAGCTCAGTGACTTATTCCGCATAGCCAACTTTCCCTCTAAAGTGGTTGTGCCTGTCTGTTTATTCTAAAAGCATCAGTGAACCTTTGGAAATGCTGGGTATTATTAATATGTGAAAGAACAAAAAAACTTTTGGGTTCTGTCTTTAATGTCAGAGTTAAATTGAATCTCACTTACTTTGAAACACAACTTGTTCAAACAACAGTAGTCTTTTTCTTTGCTACAGATTAGTAGCTTTTTTCTTTATTTTTTTCCTCTTGAAAAGTGAGATTTGTCAATATTCTCTAGAAAATAAGTTGTTTTGTTCCCTTCAGTGATTTGAAGTGATAACATTTACTATAGTTATCTTTTTTTTTTTTAAAGGGAGACACCAAATAATCTTTTGCCTAAGTGCAATTCTCATTTGGAATTAAAAATTCCAAAGGATTTAAAACTAAAAGAAGCAGAGAAAGCTGATGAAAAACAGTTGATAATAGTAAGTATACAACTTGATCAACTTTTTGGTGAAGTCTTATTTATTATATGTGAGGGTAAGTCAAAAAGTATTGCTAATAGGGTTCCAATTTGTATATACATAGGTGTATCCAGTCAAAATGTGTTTAAATCTGTCTCACAATCAGTAAATGACCGCAGGCAAGTTCTTGTCAGTAATGCACTTATCTTAGTCTCATTTCGGTGCCTCTTAGAGTGCCTTCGAAAAACAATGACTTTCAGGAGGAACTTCTGGGCCAGTTAAATATCAGTACAGCAAGTCAGCTCAGTAGGTATGGTGATTGTTTTTGTTGTTGTTGTTTAATTTCCAAAGGAATAATCTTGTTAAATTTTCTTAAAGGGCACATTATGATCAAGGGGTTATTTAAGAAGTTTTAAGAAAATGGAAGTCTGCATTTATGAGAAAAAGGACAGGAAAATTTTTTCCCGTCATGGCAACGTACCTACCGCCTCATCTAAGGGTAGCAAGGGCTGTCCTATGAGAATTTCATTGGAAAACACCCTATTTACCCACAGCCCTGATCTTGCCCCTTTAGACTTCTTTTTGTTCACCAACTCTATAATCTGCAAGGAAGACAATTTGCATCCCTCAAGGATGCCAAAACTGTTTTGAAGTAGTTGAATAGAAGAGTGCAGAATTCTTCAGGGAGGGGTTAAACAGATGGAAACACTGCCTTTAGAAGTGTGTAGACCTACATAGAGGATTAGGACTAGAAACTTATTTTTGTTTAAAAGATTAGAACACCAGAAAATGAAAAGTATCTCAGTACATTTTTATGTTGATTACAGTTAAAATTATCTTTGTCTTATATTGAGTTAAGCAAAATATATTTGCCATATGTTGAATTAAATAGAATAATGTTAAAATTAATTTTATTTCTTTAACTTGGCAACTGGAAAACTTTAAATTAGATTTGTGAGTTTTGTTTCTGTTGGACATACTGATCTAGAGATGGTAATGATAACAGCTAATACTTTTTGAATGCATTTCTTCATGTGCTCTACTTACATTAACTCAAGTCTACAGAGAAATTACAAAATAGGACTACTATTATTTACACCATTTACAAATGAAACTGAAGCATGAATACTTAATTTAAGGTTTTTATTGTGGATTGAGTGAAAGTTTACAGGGCACAATCATCAGTTTCACATTCAACACTTCATATAACTTGTTTCATTATATTGATTATAATCCCCTCCATATACCATCAGTTAAAAGTATTTCTTTTTATCCACTTTAGCTTTTTTTTAAAAAACCCACTCAGGCATATATAATAAATTACAGCTCCAAAGGGCACATTCTGCAAGTCTGCTCCTGGCCACCAGCTCTTAGTCCTTCTCTTCTTAGTTGATGAATCTAGAGTCCTCAGCCGCTCCCCCTCTCCATGCCCCCATCTCTGACTCCATCTCTGGAGCTGGTGCTTCTCTGGATAAGGTCCCACATTCTATTTGTGTGTTCCTCTCTTGATAGTGCTAGGGTCCTCTTGTTTCTGGACTGTAAGATTAAGCACTCCCCCTTTTTTGTTACAAAACTACCTATACAATTGTGACAGTCACGATTAGTCATGATAACAGTTATTCACTA